GGCTGCCACCTAGCCTCCCCACGGCCAGCTTGAGCTTCCTCACAGCATAGGAATATCCCAAGAGAACCAGGGAGAAACTCTTCCACATTGTGTTCTAGCCTCAGAAGTCACAGAGGGTCACTGATCCCTAAATGGCACACCTGCCTACATTCAAGAGGAGGGAAACTGGCCCTCCTCTCTGAGCAGGACTGTCAAAGTCTCCTTGTAAGAAGAGCACTTTGGTAAGAATTGTATTGCTGTCGACTTCAGAAAATATAATACACCCCAGAGGAGAAGTGGCCTATGGGTGGATGAATGGTACTGATGCCCACCCCAGCAGGCTGTGAGCCTAAGGCACAGGTTCAACTCGTAGTGCTCTTGTTCCCCAGCCTCTTGACCCTGGGTGGGTCCTTGTGCCCTCTGAAGGTGACCCCTCTAGGGGAGCCTACCCTGCCAGCCTCTGAAAGGAGGATGAGGAGTGGATGTTGGGAGATGCTCTCCAGCTGGGGACCCATGTCACTGAGGCACACTGGGGTAAGGGGGATGAAACTGGTGCGCTCAGGATGCCTCAGCTGCTATGGTGACAAGGCTGGGCTGAGACTTCAAGCCAAAGTTTCCAGGTAGTCCCAGGTGACCAAGGCCCAGAAAGGCAGTTTCAGTTGGGGAGAGTGATGGCTTCATGTGGAGAAGACACTCAGGAAGTCTGTTGAGCTCCAGTGTCCCCATCTGAAGCGGGACTCCGTGGTCACATCCTGCCACATTGTCAGCAGGCATTGGTCTCCAGGGCTGCCATACTGTCCCAACTGCCAGGGATGAAGGAGCTGTCTCCTGGCAGCAGCTGCCACACAAAGCCCAGGGTGGAGCTCAGGGAGGCTGGCCCAGGGTTCACAGCTTGTCACCAAACACGTATTTCTGCAGCTCATTAGTCTGGAATTCTTTCTATTCCAGCAGGCCCTCCCCTGGGATGTGTAGACTGTTCTGGCTCAGCCAACAGCAGTAAATGGGCCTTATCAAAACACAAAATGCTAAAATGTGGGAAAAAATACTTTAAAAATGTTTACATGGGAGGGACAGGCAAGGGTATTGTTGAACTGTTTTCTTCTTTCATAAGCAGCTGGGCCAGCTGAACTGAAGCTCAGGGCCAAGACCCTGGGGACCCAGCAGGAAGAACGGATGAGCGAGGGGCAGGCTTCACAAAGACCTGGGGGAAACAACTTATTTTCCATTTGCTTTCTCTTTGTCACTCTGTGGCGGATTCAAACCGACAGTCTTCACTCCCACAATTTTGACTGTGGATATGGTCACTGATTATCCCGATCCTTTAGTGTCTTTTCTACTCTGAACCAATTTAGGGAAAGACCTTTTGCTCAGGTCTGGGTAACATGGAGTGATGTATTTGGAACCAAAGGCTACAGTAACACTGGGTGGATGGCAAGTATTCATGAGCATGGTTCCAGAATTCCTATCTCTAGACTAGAAGAAGAAAAATCACAAAGGGGATATGGCACCTGTCAGGACCTCCAGCATACATATTCTCTTCCTTAATAATTTAACCTTTAGTTCTAAGCTTGGCACATGACTCTCTGGACCAAATCTGGCTAACTGAGTGGAGTGGGGGTGGTGAGTGCAGGTGTCATGAAGCAGCTTCCATGCCAGAATGTAACATTAAAAGGAATTTGTGAGCCCTTCCTCCCTTTTTCTACTTCTGCTATCTGAAATGTGAATATGATAGTTGGAGCTGCAGCAGTCATCTTGGGCCATGAGGTGATCTTGGAGATGGAAGCCATGTAAGCTAACTCCATGTAATTGGAGCCTGAGTCCCTGACATGGTGTAGCCTCCAAAATTGGACTTTCTACCTCCCACATTGAGTAAACTGCTGCCTTGTTTACACCACTATTGTGTTAGGGTTTCTTTAACCCAGAGCCAAAGATAACCCTCTCTCAGAGAGTTTACAGTCAATTATGTTTCTCATTCAAAAAGTTAGCCAGTGGTTATAGGTCATGTTGGGCTGGAGCATCATAGCTGAATGAAGACAATCAATTTGTGGGACTGCTCTGTCCTTGTCAGGGAAGAGGACTCCTCCCTCAAACAGACATGTCACCATGAGTATGGTGTTGACTGAGTGTGTCAGGGACATACAGACAGATTGGAGGATTTCCCCAGCCTAGACATGTGTAAGGAAGACAGAATACCCCGTTGTACTTCCTTCCCACTTCAGCTCCCCTAGAAATAGCTCAGTAACATAATTGCAGGGAGAAGCAACAGAGAGTATGAGGCACAGGTGGAGTCCCTGTGGGTCTTGGCTTTCATGGACTTTGAGAAAGTAAAAAGACTGGTCTGCCATGCAAGTTGACACCCCAAAGCAGAGGTGACTGCAAACCAGCAAATTAGCAGAAGAGATTGTATGTGGCAGGGAAGTGGGTCCTTGGAAAGAGATGTTACCCTCCTTACACACCTGGAGGGACTGAAAGCTCAGGGCCCATAGTTTGAGAAGAGAAGTGGGCCAGGAGATAGGAAGAGTGAGTTCTTTGCTCACCTCTAAACCCAGCTCCACTGTGCCTGAGAGAGGATCTTGGCATGGTGTTTGCACCAGGACAAAACCAACGATGTGCTTATGCTATCAACTGGAAGTTAATCTCTCCCCCAGACTCATCTGTTGATACCCAACCCCCAAGGTATTAGGAGATGGGCCTACAAGAGGTGATTAGGCCATGAGGGTGGATCATTGGGATTAGTGCCCTAGAGATCTTCCTCTTCCTTTCCACTTTATGAGGACACAGCAAGCAGAGTGCCATCTATGGATGGAGGAGAGCCCTCATCAGACACTGAATCTGCTATCATTTTGATCTTGGATTTCCTAGCCTCCAAAACTGAGAGGAATAGATTTCAATTGTTTCTAAGCCATACAGTATGATATTGTGTTATAACAGAACAAACTGAGGCATTTTGCTAAGAAACTAAGGTGAAGTTGGGAGGAGGGTTAGTATCCACTAGAGTAAAAGCCCTCACTGATTTGTTATTTTAATGGAGACAAGGGAGCTTGGTACCCTCTAGTGAAGGCTGTCAGTTACTATAACTTACCCCTACCTGGAGAACTCAACCTAGACTTCCCAGGAAGGGGAGAGGCCTGCTGAGTAAAGGGAAATGGGAAACATGAAGGGAATCCTTGCCAGCTATTGATAGGCAACAGTTTTGTCTTTCATACGTGTATACAAACAGATGAGCAGATTTAACACTGCCCCTGGAAGAAATTGATTGGAAAAGCAGTGAATAGAAGCTAAGAGTAAAAATGAACACCTGAGACATTTGAGGAGACATTGCATTCACAAAGCAAGAACAGAAACCTATAAAAAAGGAAAAGTCAGGGAATAATGAAAAGTTGAGATATTAAAAATATGACTGTCAAAACTTGTTAAAATCAGGAAAAAGTTGGAAAATATAATTGAAGTAACTCCCTAGACTTTAGAGAAAGAAGATAAAAAAATGAAGAGTATTAGGGAACAGTTAAGAAATGCATGCATTGATCCAGCCCATCTAAACTGTGACTATAACAAAGTAGCACAAGCTGAGTGACTTAATGCTACATAAGTTTATTGTCTGGCAGCTATGGAGGTCAGAAATCCTAAGAAGGAGGTGTTAGGAGTTCCATTCCTTCTGGAAACCATAGGAAAGGATCCATTTCCCTGCCTTTCCCAACCTCTGGAGGCTGTCAGCATTCCTTGGCTCATGGCCCTTTCCTCCATCTTCAAGGTCAGCAGTGTAGCTGACCAGGATGTCTGCTTCCATCATGTGTCATTCTTTCTCCTTCTGCTTCTACTATCACATCCCTTTCTCTGATCTTGACTCTCTTTCTCTCTTTCTTTTCTCCTATGGGTACCCGTTGGTGAGCATTGAGCTTACCAAGATAAAACAGGAAAGTCTACCTATCTCAATATTTTTAATTTAATCACATCTGAAAAGTCCCTTTTTTCCTGTAAGATAACATATTCAAGGATTCCAGGGACTAGGTTGTGTCACCTTTGGTGGCCCACTCTTTTTTTTTTTTTTTTTTTTGCTACAATGGGAAATAATAACTAAAGAGGGAATAACCTTTGTTTTTTAATCTGAGAGAAGAGGTTTTAAATTTAGAATTCCTCTGAGTTACCTTAATAGGATGATTGAGAAAAAAAAAAGTTCACACCTGGGTACTTCATCATGAATTTTTAGGAAGATGAGGGGATAGAGGTGGCACAGGTCTCTGGCAGAGGAATGAGATTGAATGCAGTATGCAAAAGAGAAATAGAAGACTTCTTTCAAGTCTTGAGCGGAAATTATCTTGACTTAAAAATGATTCCATTAGCCAACATTTTAGGTATGAAAATTTAAAATAAATTTTAATGTATAAGAAAGTTAACCTCCCTTGAACTTATTCTGAGGAAGTACAATGTGAAATGTACTCTGGTCACAAGAAAATAAAAACCAAAAGGAAAATAAGGACTTCCCCAAACCACAGAACTAAGTCAGTACTACAGTGCAAAGAAATTCTATGCCATGAATATGATGATTAAATAATAAGAAATCTATTAAAACTTACCAGATTAATAAATTGAAGACTTTAAGAAGTTTCAACACCCATTTATCCTTAGCCTTGACTTCATGGATGAATACAGTCTTATCATGATGATATGTAAATGTTTCAGTCCTAAAGTCAGTGATTTACTTAATGTAGAAATACTAAAAACATTCATACTAAGGTCAGAAACAAACCAATATATATATTTTTTTACTTCTACTATTACTTAACACACTGCCAATGTGATCATATATAAAAACTAGAGGCTTAATAAAGAGTAGAAGTATTCTCTGTTTGCAGATGACAATACGATGTACCTGGAAGACTCTAGTGAATATTTTTCAAAACTACCCCAGAGAATAAAAGAATTCTAAAAGACAGCAAACAGGTTGTAAAATCAGCATATCAATAGACTTCATGTTTTATATGATTTTCATATATGAAGTTAAAAATTAAAATAAATCTTACCAGGCATTCACAACGAAGACAGAAGGCTCTTGGGAAAGTTTCTTAGTAGTATAGTAACTTCTCCTCTGTCCACGGGGAAAAAAAGCCATAAACTGTGGAGATGGAATAGTGTCTTCTTTAGGAGACAGTGAAGTAAAAGCTGTAGCAAAACAGCCCTCATCCTAAATACAAGGTTACATTAGAATCTAAAGTCGGTTATATCATGAGGGTAACCATTGCAACACTAACCCTCAGTCCCAGCCCAGCCCACCTCCTGACTCAATTAATAAACATCTACATTAAAGACCCAACAGAAGAAAAAGTGGGCTCACTTCCAAGCATGAAAATTATTTACATCAATCTCTACTATCTAATGTCTGTTACCAAAAAAAAAAAAAAAGCTGGTCACGGTGATGCACACCTGTAATCCCAGTGGCTCATGAGGCTGAGACAGGATGATCAAGAGTTCAAAGCCAGTCTCAGCAATGGCAAGGTGCTAAGCAACTCATTAAGACATGTCTCTAAATAAAATACAAAATATGCTGGATTTTAGCTCAGTGGTGGAGTGCTTGCCTGGCACATGTGAGGCACTGAGTTCAATCCTCAGCACCCCATTAAAATATTTTTAAAAAATTAAAAACAAATATAAGCCTTATGAAAAAGTAAGACACTGGAATTATCAGGTGAGAAATTTAAAATAATAATCATAAATATGCTTATGACTCTAAAGGAAAATGTGGGAATATGCAAAATCTGAGGGATAATTTCAGCAGAGAGTTGGAAATGATTCGAAGGAACTGAATGGAGATACTAGCAATGAAAAACTGAGAAAAGATGAGAAATGCCTTCAACAGCTCATTAGTAGACAGTCAAGACAAGAATTGAGGTCAATTTGAAGATAAGCCAATAGAAACCCAAAAAGAAAAAATAAAAAAAAAGAGTAAAAATCCCCCCAAAAAAAGTGCATCCAAGGGTTCTGGAGCAATACTAAATGGTATTACACATTATTTAAATCTCAAGAAGAGAAAGGAAAAAAGAAAAATGTATTTGAGAAATATTATTTTTTTCTGTTTCAAATTTTATTTAACATCCTCCCATTATTTATTTTATTTATTTGTGTTTGGGGTGTTTGTTTTATATTGTTTTGTTTTTTTGCAGAGCTGGGGATCAAGTCCAGGTGCTGGGCATGGAACCCAGGACCTTTTGCATGCTAAGCAAGTGCTCTACAATTGAGCTTCAACCTTAGCCTGTTTTTTTTTTAATTGACATATAAAAACTGCACATGTTCATAGGGCATAGTGTAATAATTCAATACATGTGTACAATATATATTGTTCAAATCGGGGTAGTTAGCACTTCCCTTTCCTGAAACATTTATCAAATCCTTTGTGTTGAAAACCTTCTAACTCCTCTCTTCTCATTTTTTATAAAAATGTGTATTCAAAACTATTGTAATGTTTTGGAATTAATTTTTATGTTTGCTCCTTAGGATTGTAAAATTTTGGATAAAGAATATATTACAGATATATATACACACACACACACATATACATATATAGACATAGATATAGATATCTATCTCCAAGAATTAAACCCAGGGGTGCTAAATTGCTAAGACTGGCACTCGCTTTGAATTTGCCATCCTCCTGCCTCATCCTCCCCAGCTGCTGGGATTACAGGCATACACCATTGCACTTACAGATGGGTTTGAACTGTAAGCATCCTGCTGTGTTGTAGAATACTGGGACTCGTTCCTCCCATGTGATTGTATATTGGTACCCATTAACTGACCTCTCTCCCCAACCTTTCCTAACCTCTGCTGATCACAATTCTACATTGATTTTTAAAATATTCTCCAAATTTTTATTAGAATGTACTCTCTATATATATCAGCTGGGATTACAGACATGCACCACCACACCTGGCTAAGAAATATAGTTTTTTAAAAAAGAATTTGTCCCTATTTTCAGATGATATATTTATATATGTAGAAAAGTCCAAAGTATCTATGAAAAAATTCTAGAATTGAGCATTATTGATAAAGTATTTATCTAGAGTACAAAATACAAGTTCAATATACAAAATCAATTTTGTTTACTTTCTGTACACCAGCAATGGACAATTAGAATTTAGGATTTTTAAATTATTATTTAAAAGAGAAAAAAGGTACTTAGATCTAAATCTACCCAAATACATACATCATTTGAACCCTAAAAGCTATAAAAATAAGTGAAATAATAAATGAAGACCTAAATAGAGTTTTGAACAATATACATTGATCGGAAGACCTAATAATGTTAGGCTTACAATTCTCTACAAATTTAATTATAGGTTGAACGAAATACCAATCAAATATTCAGCACATTTTATTATATAGATATTGACAAACTGATTCTACAATTGAATGTACATGTAAAGTTACTTTATTAGTAAACAACTTTGTGAAATACAAGCAAGATTAGAGAATTTACATTTCATGAACTTAAGACTTTAAATGCCACAGTGATTAAGATAGTACAGCATTAGAATAAAGATAGAAAGTAGATCGATTTTAGAGAATAGATTGTCCAAAAGTAGGCCCATACATATATGATCAATTGTTATCTGACAAAGTTAACAGGGATGTTCAGTGGAGAAAGGATAGTTCTCGAAACAAATGGTGTTTGAACAATTCACTCCTCATATGAAAAAATGCACTTTGATCCATAGATTTTACCTTACAAAAGAAAATTAACCCTGAAAGGACCACAGACTTAAATGTGAAACAAAAAACTTTGAACCTTACAGAAGAAAGTGCAGGGATAGATCTTTATTATCTTGGGTTAGCCAAAGATTTCCTACACATGACAATAAAATTATGACTCATCAAAGAACAAATTGAGATTACCAGCTTGGCTTCTAGCAAACTGCCTGAGGAGCTCCACTGGCCCACACCTCAATGAAAATGAAAATTATTCAAAAAAAATTATCAAAAGTGGAAGTGATCATAATGACAAACACCAAACACAGATCCATCTATCCCAAAATTTTGGACTTTTGGTGATAAGGGCAAGAGCCTATGATATTTGAGACAAGATTTCATCCATTTTCTGCTTTCTGGAGTCTCCATTCCAGTCTGCTAAAGTCTAGAAAGACATTATGTCCCACACCTGCAGCTCTAGAGCCCTGTTCAAAATTTCATCTTGTATGAGAAGCGAGTTCTAAAACAGACATCTCCCAATCTCTTCTCAAAGAAACTTATTTCACTTGCAAAAATGAAATATGGAGAAGTTCAAACCTAAGGACACACTCAAGAATAGTGGAGGTTGTGGGAGAGAGGAAGTGAAGAAGAGATTCATGAATTTAATGAACATAAAGCCTATACTGTAAGATGGCTGATTTGTATAGAGAACTGAGGAATAAAAACAAAGAAAACATCAAGAGCTGGGGTTGTGTCTCAGTGGTAGAGCACTTGCCTTGCACATGTGAGGCACTGGGTTTGATCCTCAACACCACATATAAATAAATAAAGATATTGTGTCTATCTACAATTAAAAAATTTTTTTAATCAAATATGAGCTCAGGAAAAAAAAATCAAACATGGATCTTAGAAACTAGCCCTTCAAAGGAATTACAATTTAATTGGACTTGTTTGCAGAGACATCAATACCCCAGGGGATTTTTTTGAAACAATAGAACAATAATCCATCAATCAATGGAGTATAGTAGCTGGACATGGTCACATAGAAAGAGAATCCAAAGAATGTCAAATTATAAAGAAAGAAGAAAAAAAAATCTCTATTTGCAAGTTATAAGAAATTATATGTGCATAACCCCAAGGAATCCACTAAAATTTTATTAGCTCCACTAAAATTTTATTAGCACTAATAAATGAGTTTAGTAATGTTGAAAGATGCTCAAAAATAAATTATATTTCTGTATACTTTTAATGAATAATCCAACAATGAAATTAATAAAACAATTTAATCATCAAAATTCTCAGAGAATAAATACTTAGGAGTAAGCTTAACAAAAGCAATGCAAAACTTGCATTCTGAAAGTTATAAAATATTCTTCAGTGAAAATTTAAAAAGACATAAGTAAATGGAAAAACATCCCATGTTTTACTTACCAAGAAACTTGTCATTGTTAAGATGAAATATTTCCCAAATTGATCTACAGACACAACTCAAGCCCCAACAGCAACTGATTTCTTTATAGAAATTGACAAACTGAGTCTAATATTCACATGGAATTAAGAGGTATCCAGAGTAGTCAGAACAATCCTGAAAGTTTAAGTAGGACAATTTATACTTCTCAGTGTCAAACTTACTATAAAGCAAAGTAATCAAGAAAGTGTAATGTTAGTAAAAAGTTTAGACATAAACAGATCAATGTAATAGAACTGAGAGACCAAGAATAAACCTATACAATCAATTAAATATCCCTTTATTTGATGTTTCTAAAAGGGTATTGAGACCATCCAATAGAGGAAGAATAGTCTTTTGAACAAATGATGCTGTGAAGATTGGCTAGTCACATACAAAAAATGATGTTAGACTTCAAATTATTCACCTTACATTATGTATTTTGTATATAATGTGCTTCACATTATATGCAAAAGTTAACTCCAAGTGAGATCAAGGACCTAAATCTAAATTTAGAGCTAAAACTTAAGAACTATTTTTTTAAAAAAAAACATAACAGTAATATTTCAAGACCCTTATTTGTCCAAGGATTCTGAGATGTGACACAAAAAAAAACACGAGAAAGAAAAGAAAAAGTAGAAAAATTGCATGTTTTTAAAATAAAAATAAAACTATTGGGCTTCAAAGAACACCACTGAGACAACAAAAGATAACACACAGAATGAAAGAAAATATTTGCTCTCTAATATGAGAACATATGAGAGAAAATGATATATTTGATAAGGACTTGGCATCTAGAATACAAAAAGAACATTTGTAACTTAGTAATAAAAAGGGAAATAACACTATTTAAAATGGAAAAAGGATATGAATAGAGGAGTCTTCAAGGAAGATATCCAAATGGCCAACGAACAAGTGTAAAGAGACTCGACATCATAGTAATTAGGGAAATGACTGGGAAAAAATACTAATTACCAAAGTATACACAATAAGAAAGAGTCTTAAAGAAATTTTATCAGTAAGCAAAAATCTTTCCATGAAGAAACACAAAGCTATAATGGCTTTCTTGGCAGGTTCTATCATATATTTAAGGAAAAAAAATAATGGCCAATCTTGTACAAA